GCGGGGCTCTGGGCGGGGCCGCCGGGTGGGCGGGGCCGCCGGGTGGGGCCTGAGCGTGCCTGCGTCCGTCGCAGCCCCCTGTACGACCAGTACTGCAAGGACCACTTCGGCGACGGGCACTGCGACCAGGGCTGCAACAGCGCCGAGTGCGAGTGGGACGGGCTGGACTGCGCGGAGCACGTGCCCGAGCGGCTGGCGGCCGGCGCGCTGGTGCTGGTCGTGCTGACCCCGCCCGCGCAGCTGCGCAACAACTCGCTGCACTTCCTGCGGGAGCTCAGTCGCCTGCTGCACACCAACGTGGTGTTCAAGCGCGACGCCCATGGCCAGCCCATGATCTTCCCGTACTACGGCCGCGAGGAGGAGCTGCGCAAACACCCCATCAAGCGCGCGGCGGACGCCTGGGCCGCGCCTGGGGCCCTGCTCGACCGGGTGGAGGCCGCCCTGCTCCCGCGGGGCCTGGCGGGCCGCCGGCGCAGGGAGCTGGACCCCATGGACATCCGCGGGTGAGTAGCTCCAGCCGGCTCCCCTGGGCCCTCCCAACTTGATGTGGAAGAGACGGAGGGTCGGACAAGACCGGGACTTCTGGGGCCCACCTGTCCAAGCTCCTGGCCCTCCACCTCCCACCCCCCACCTCCTGGCAGGTGCTCCAGCGCCTGGGGTCAGCTCCCAGATAAGGACTAGACTCCTGAAATCTCTGTTCTTCTGCAATGGGAAAAGGATGCTTGCGGCTCCCAGTGGGACGGGGGAGGGCGGCAGGGCTGGCTGGGAGGGCACTCTGAGGGGTGTCTCAGGTGTCACAGCTCTACTGTGTGCTGGTGCTAGGCTTGGTGGGCTGGAGAGAGCACTGTCCACCTCCGGGGTGGTTCTGTGCAGGCGTGGCTCCCTGCGGCCCCAGGCCATCTCTCGCATCCTGGGAGTGCCCTCCCTCCCCCCTACCTTGGGATGATGCCCTGGGCCTGAGGGGTAAACAGGGCGGCTGCAGGGGGCAAACCTGAGGTCTGAGCCTCCTCACCTGGCTGTGCCCCCAGATCCATCGTCTACCTGGAGATCGACAACCGGCAGTGTGTCCAGTCCTCCTCACAATGCTTCCAGAGCGCCACGGACGTGGCCGCCTTCCTGGGCGCACTTGCCTCACTGGGGAGCCTCAACATCCCTTATAAGATCGAGGCCGTGCAGAGTGAGTAGCCCGCCCCAGCCCTGCTTCCTGAGGGACAGTTTGCTGGCTTCTAAGGAAAGTCTACCTGGGAGGGGGCAGGTCTCCCAGTACCCCCCCCCAAATGTTCTTGTTCTCTGTGCCATTTTCCGCCCACGGGTGCGTGTCATGCCATCCAGAGTTCAGGAAGCACTTTTGTGGGATTCTGCCTGGTGCGCCCTCCCTCCCCGTAGTGACAGCTGTCGGTGCGGCTGGCCCAGGGGACGGACACATCTGGCAGAAAGTGGGAGCCTTTTTCTCCCCTCACTCATTCACCTGATTTTTCTCTGTTGGGTATTATTTCAAAATCATTACAGCTTTTTAAAAAAGAGAGAGAGAGAAAAGAATTGATCGGTGTCATGTGAAGTGTTGAAGTTTGTATCTCGAAAATCCCCCTAAATCCTTTGTCTTAACAGCTCAATGCAAGTGCAGTGATTTGAAGTTGGCTAATCCTTCTCCCTTAAAGGAGAAAAAAGTAAAAGCCGTCTCCAGATAGTCGGCTGGTGCAGGAGAGAATTTAGCAATAGTTTGCAATTCTGATTAATCGCGTAGAAAATGACCTTATTTTGGGGGGCGGGATGGAGGAGAGCGGGTGAGGAGGCGCCCAGCCGTGGAGCCAGTCCGCTGCCCCCCGGCCGCCGGCCTGCCGCGGAGCTGCCGCCTGATGTCCGGACGCCCACAGGTGAGACCGTGGAGCCGCCCCCGCCCCCGCAGCTGCACTTCATGTACGTGGCTGTGGCCGCCTTCGTGCTGCTCTTCTTCGTGGGCTGTGGGGTGCTGCTGTCCCGGAAGCGCCGGCGGCAGCATGGACAGCTCTGGTTCCCCGAAGGCTTCAAGGTCTCAGAGGCCAGCAAGAAGAAGCGGCGGGAGCCCCTCGGCGAGGACTCCGTGGGCCTCAAGTTAGTGCATGCCACCACAGCCTCTGGGGGGCTTGGGGGAGATGGGGCCCACCCCCTGCGGACCCACGGGCCTCACCTCACACAGTGCGAGGGCCTCGGGTGGCCGCCTGAGCCGCAGCCTCAGGGGGAGCCCCGCTCAGTCTCGCTTCCCCACCCCCCCGCCTCCAGGCCCCTGAAGAATGCCTCAGATGGCGCTCTCATGGACGACAACCAGAACGAGTGGGGGGATGAGGACCTGGAGGCCAAAAAGTTCCGGGTGAGTCCGGTGGGCTCCTGCGCCTCCCCGGGCGGCCCTACCCTGCCCCGGGCCCCACGTGACGGGGCCCTCTGCTCACCCCATCCTCAGTTCGAGGAGCCGGTGGTTCTTCCTGACCTGGATGACCAGACAGACCACCGGCAATGGACCCAGCAGCACCTGGACGCTGCCGACCTGCGTGTGTCGGCCATGGCCCCCACACCACCCCAGGGCGAAGCTGACACTGACTGCATGGACGTCAACGTCCGAGGGCCAGGTAGGTGCACCACCGGCCACCTGCACCGCCCCCCCAGAGGCTGTCAGGATAGGGTCCCATCCAGCAGCCGGTTGGGGGGTCGGTGTTCTGGAAGCCGAGCACTGCGGGGGGCAAGGCGCTCCCTCCGTGGAGCAGGTTGGGCCATCCCGGGAGACCCTCTGCTCTTAGCCAGCTCCGTCCTGGGGGAGGCTCTCTGCCCACCAAATTAATTCCTTCTCTTGAAACATCTGAGGAGCTGATTTCCCAGCCACACGTGTCTTATGTGGCCTCTTCTCGGGTGGGTTATCAGTGAAGATCTCAGGCAGGTCAGGAAGCAGAGCCACAGGGTCGCCTCTGCCCACCGGCCTGTTGGCAGCTGGACTTGGCTCTGTCCCGTGGGAAGCTCAGGTTGATTTTGGTGGCCCCGGGTGGCGCGGCCATGGGTGCGGGGTGCCACGGGCTGGGCCGCACGTCCACACGCTGCCCACCAAGTCGGGACCATCGACACACCAGTCGGCACTGCTGCCGGGAGCCCGCCTTCCTGACGGAGCCCTTGCCGCCCCCCACACAGACGGCTTCACGCCCCTCATGATCGCCTCCTGCAGCGGAGGGGGCCTGGAGACGGGCAACAGCGAGGAGGAGGAGGACGCGCCGGCCGTCATCTCTGACTTCATCTACCAGGGTGCCAGTCTGCACAACCAGACAGACCGCACTGGCGAGACCGCCCTGCACCTGGCCGCCCGCTACTCGCGCTCCGACGCGGCCAAGCGCCTGCTGGAGGCCAGCGCAGACGCCAACATCCAGGACAACATGGGACGCACCCCGCTGCACGCCGCCGTGTCTGCCGACGCGCAGGGAGTCTTCCAGGTGGGCAGCTGTGCCACACGTGCCCTTCCGCCTGCCCCCGGGGCCGCTGGTGTCTGCCCCGCGACCCCGCAGCTCCGGGTCAGGCACTGGCAGGGAAGGCAGGCTGGAGGTGGGCCTGCAGGAGGTCGGCATGACCTGGGGGGCGGGGGGCGCGGGGTGTCCGCGCCCTGACCCGAGGCGGCTTCCCGGTCCCACGCAGTAGCCCGGCAGGGCCTCCCGGCTCCGCGGCAGCCTTGGCTGGAGGCGTAGCTGTGGCGGCGAGACGGGTTTCAGGGCTGCAGCGGACCTGGGGCTCTGGCCTCGCTGGGAGCCCAGGCATCGGGTGGGTCTCGGGGATTGCCCCTGCACTGGCTCCCCCCCGCCACAAGTTCCCGGGCCCTGGCCGGCCCTGCCCTGAGTAGACACACCAGGCGGGGCACAAACTGGGGGAGTCGTTGCAGAGCCGTTAACGTGATGATTTGTGACGCACCGTTCTGCAGAAGTCAGGCCCAGCGAGCCCCTGGAGGCGGGCTCTGGCTGTCTGCCCTGACGGCCTCTCCGGCGAGCAGACACGTAAATTCCCGTGGGCACTTCGTGGGAGTGAGGCCAGCCGGGACGCCGCCTGGCGCCCAGCGCCTCCCCCCACCAGTGCACAGTGACCACCCTTCCCACTTGGGACCCGGGGTGCAGCAGCATCTGAAGGACTGCCTGCACCTCTGTGTCCTGGGTGGACACAGCATAGCTCAGCGGTTCTGAGTCCGTGGTCCAGGCGTGGCTCTGCCCACGGGGCTGGGCTGGGACTGAACCCTCTGTGTCCTGGAGTGGCGATGGCAGCCAGGCCCGGGGCAAGGATGAGATGAGGCCACACTTGGGCATCGAGGGGACGGGTCTGTGGGGGCGGCGCAGCCAGCACCCCGGCCCCTGCCCCTCCAGCCGTGGCTGGCGGAGTTCCACCCTTCCTGCACTCCTCCCGCCGTCCACGCTGGCTGCGGCCACACAGACCCCAAGAGGGACTTTGTGGTATTGCGGACCGGTTCCCAGGTATTGGTCTGAGGCCGGCAGCCTCAGACCCCTGTCTGCCAAGCCTGAGAGCTTCCCTGTCGTCTAGATCCTCATCCGGAACCGGGCCACGGACCTGGACGCCCGTATGCACGATGGCACGACACCGCTGATCCTGGCGGCCCGCCTGGCTGTCGAGGGCATGCTGGAGGACCTGATCAACTCGCACGCCGACGTCAATGCCGTGGACGACCTGGGTAAGGCAGGCTGCGGCCCGGCCCGCGCAGGATGGGCCTGCTGCCGCCTGGGCTGCCCCAACCTACTCTCTGCTTCCCCACACAGGCAAGTCTGCCCTGCACTGGGCCGCCGCCGTGAATAACGTGGAGGCTGCCGTCGTGCTTCTGAAGAACGGGGCCAACAAAGACATGCAGAACAACAAGGTAGGCTCCGGGGCCGGGGTGAGGCTAGTAGGTCCCTCCACCAGCACCACCTCTTTCTGAGCACGGCAACACCGAGCCCCTGCGTAAACCCCTGGGCTCTGACTTCCCAACCTGCGAAGTCCCCGTGAGGAGCCCCGAGCTCAGTGCCTGTGCATCGCTTGCTCTTCGGCCTACATCCACGTGCTTGCTGACACGTCCCCAGCAAGCGCATGCGTCTTAGCTCAGTCACCATGACCAGCACTGCACCTTCTGTCCTTGGCAATCACTGGGCAGGGAGGGTCCCTGCAGATGGTACAGAGAGAGCTCGAGCGCCGCTGGGTGTGGGGCTTGGCACATCGTGAGGCCCCCAGGTGCAGAGGTGAGCGGCCACCTTCCTGCACGTGAAGCCTCGGCCCGTCTTGCTCTCTACCGCCGTGGCATGTCCCCAAAGCAGACTACAGACCCAGTCTGAGCTTTGGGTGCTCATCGGCTGCAGGCAGGCATCCCAGCTCCTCGGCAGCCGGGCCTTGCCCACATCTCCCTAACCCCGCCTGGGTCTCCCTCTTTCCTTCCTGGGGGACACAGCAGCTGTTGGACCCAGGCATTCCTGAGGCCCCTGCAGGCGAGGTGTGACCCCGTGCCTCCCACTGGGGAGGCTGAGCCTCAGAGAGGCAGGGACTGCCAGAAGGGTATCAGGCCCTTGTGTGAGGGCCAAAGCCTTGTGTGAGCCAGGGAGGCACCGTCAGGCCACACACTCCCCACCCTCTGGCCACGCAGAAGCTCACGGAGACATGTGGCAGACAGGGAAACCGAGGCTCCGGGAAGGAGCTAAGGCATCAGGCTCACTTGGGGACCATGTGGGATGGGGCACTCCCTCCCTGGTGCCAAGGACACACCTCAGGGATCCTCAAGCCCCTGAAATTGCTGCACTATTTGGCTCTGCTGTTCTGGAGACAAGAGAGAGGCCACAGTTGTAGATTCCCTGCGGGGTCTGTGTCCCCCATACAGGTGAAGTCCCGGTGATTTAGAACACAGAGTCCCGCAGACCGCCTCGGAGCAGGTCGGGTCTCAGGAGATAGATTTTAAGGCTGTTCACGAGGTCTAATCCGGTCAGCTGACGGCGGAGTTACGGGACAGCCCACATGAGCGTCCCTCTGCCGCGGTCCCTCTGGTGACGGGGCGTGGGTGTGGGCGACCCCCTCACCTGCCCCCCGGCCGTTCCCAGGAGGAGACGCCCCTGTTCCTGGCTGCTCGGGAGGGCAGCTACGAGACCGCCAAGGTGCTGCTGGACCACTTCGCCAACCGGGACATCACAGACCACATGGACCGCCTGCCTCGCGACATTGCTCAGGAGCGTATGCACCACGACATCGTGCGGCTGCTGGATGAGTACAGCCTGGTGCGCAGCCCCCAGCTGCACGGCCCTGCCCTGGGCGGTGCGCCCACCCTGTCCCCGCCGCTCTGCTCTCCCAACGGCTACCTGGGCAACCTCAAGCCGGCCGTGCCGGGCAAGAAGGCCCGCAAGCCCAGCACCAAGGGCCTGGCCTGTGGCGGCAAGGAGGCCAAGGACCTCAAGGCGCGCAGGAAGAAATCCCAGGACGGCAAGGGCTGCCTGCTGGACAGCTCGAGCGTGCTGTCGCCCGTGGACTCCCTTGAGTCGCCCCACGGCTACCTGTCGGACGTGGCCTCGCCGCCCCTCCTGTCCTCTCCGTTCCAGCAGTCCCCGTCCGTGCCCCTGAGCCACTTGCCCGGCATGCCTGACGCCCACCTGGGTGCTGGCCACCTGAGCGTGGCTGCCAAGCCCGAGATGGCAGCGCTGGGTGCGGGTGGCCGGCTGGCCTTTGAGGCGGGACCGCCGCGGCTCTCCCACCTGCCCGTGGCCTCCAGCACCGGCGCCGTCCTGGGCACCGCAGGTGCTGGCGGCGGAGGCGGGGCCGTGAATTTCACCGTGGGCGGGACCGTGGGCGGGGCCGCGGGCTTGAACGGCCAGTGCGAGTGGCTGTCCCGGCTGCAGAACGGCCTGATGCCAAACCAGTACAACCCGCTGCGAGGGAACGTGGCGTCGGGCCCCCTGAGCACGCAGGCCCCTGCCCTGCAGCACGGAATGATGGGCCCGCTGCATGCCGGCCTCTCCACCACGGCCGCCCTGTCGCAGATGATGAGCTACCAGGCCCTGCCCAACACGCGCCTGGCCGGCCAGCCGCACCTGGTGCAGACCCAGCCGCTGCAGCAGGTGCAGCAACAGCAACAGAACTTGCAGCTGCAGCAGCCCGGCCTGCAGCCGCCCAACGTCCAGCAGCCGCAGGGCCTGCCGCCCCAGCCGCACCTCAGCGTGAGCTCGGCCGCCGGCGGCCACCTGGGCCGGAGCTTCCTGGGCGGGGAGCCGAGCCAGGCGGACGTGCAGCCGCTGGGCCCCAGCAGCCTGGCGGTGCACACCATCCTGCCGCAGGACAGCCAGGCCCTGCCCACCGCCCTGCCCGCCACGCTGGCCCCGCCCATGACCACGGCTCAGTTCCTGACCCCGCCCTCGCAGCACAGCTACTCTTCCTCGCCGGCGGACAACACCCCCAGCCACCAGCTGCAGGTGCCTGAGCACCCCTTCCTCACCCCGTCCCCCGAGTCCCCGGACCAGTGGTCCAGCTCGTCACCACATTCCCACGTCTCTGACTGGTCTGAGGGCATCTCCAGCCCGCCCACCAGCACGCAGTCCCACATCGCGCACATTCCGGAGGCGCTCAAGTAAACAGCCGGCGCCCCGGCGGGACCCTGTGCTTCCTTTCCCAAGCCCTGCTGGGGCCGCCTGCATGCTCCGCATGGACACCGGGACGGACCGAGGGGGCTTTTTCTTAAGAAACATGTTTTTGTACAAAATAAAAGGACAAGGATTTTAATTTTTTTTTTTAGTATTTATTTATGTACTTTTATTTTACAAGGAAACACTGCCTTTTTATTTATACGTAATGTTTTCTATGGCTTCAGGTAACAGCTTTTATCTGTTCCAAGAAAATAAAGTAGTTCTCAGCCAGGATTTTCGTACTTAAGATAACTCTTGTTACGTATTTGTAAAATATAAACAAAGATTCATGATTAATAAATGCCATTTATTTATTGATTTTTTTTTTTTTTCCCTTCAAAATCCAAAAAGAAACGATGTTGGAGAAGGGAGGCTTGAACCAGCATCGTCCAGAAAGCTGCCAGGGTGCCTGGGCCTGCTGCCAGGTCCCCAGACGCCCCCCACCCCGCACCCGGCCCCGAGCCTCCTGCACGCATCACCTGTCTTGTGCGAGGAGATGCATCTAGACGCAAACAATAAGACAGAACTTTTGTCAACACCTTTGGCATGTGGATTAATTTGCATCTAAAATAGGAACGTAAAATGTAAAATGATGTGGTTTATACATTTTGGTGGCTTTTTTTAAAATGATTTTTTTGAAAACATGCTTTTAAAGATGTGTTCTTGGGGTGTCCCAAGAACACATTTCATGGTACCGATCATGAATCTTTGTTTTGGGTTCAGTATTACCCAGTTGTTGATTGGTCTTGTGAGTTCCTGTTCCTTCTAGAAGCTCCTCTGCCCCCACCCTGGCCTGGATGTTTAAGCATTGTGTAAGAGTGAGGAGTCAGGTGGCTGTGGGGCACCCACCTGGGACGCCACGTGGAGGAATCCTACCCTTTTCTGCAGAGAGACACTGCCTGGGCCACCCCGATGGACCGGCAGCACTGGGCCTAGGCTCAGCTCGAGGCCCCGTTTTCACGAGAGACTTCCCGGAGCAACCTCTGTCCAGGCTTTGGAGAAACGTGGCTGTGTCCGGCCTCGGTTTGCAGAGACGGCTCATCCCAAGGCCTGGCGCAGCTCAAGGGTGCAAGCAGCTGAGGTGGTGCCCCCAGGGCCACAGAAGCCAGCTCGAGGGCCACCCCTCCCAGTCTGGGGGTGGGGGGCGTGTACCCGGGGAGGGAGCAGATTCTTGCAATATCAAGTATAAGCCTGTGGCAAAGTAAATATCTGTAAATACATTTTTAAAGGTGGATTTTGTTTAAAAAATCTGAATGAACAAGTCTGTCGGGGGTCATGCTGACGAGGGATGTCAGAACATGGCTCTGCTCACGACCCAGGCCTGGCAACCTGACCTGCCGCCGCCTGGACCGTAGCTCCGAAGAGCAAACCCAGGGAAGGCTTCCCGCTGCCTCCTCCAGGCAGCCTCCCCGGCCTTGCGGGGGGCAGTGTTGTGCCATCCCTAGTGGGCATGACCAGACATGCCCTAAGATATTGACTCTTACTGTGTTTTGTAAAAATAGAGTGTAGTTTACAGAAAAAGGAAACTTTTTAAAAAAGTTACCTGCGTGCAAAACTGTAGGCGATGAAAATGCTGTTATTTTTTTTTCATCTTTTTTTGTTAACTGATTTGCAATAAAAGTAATGCTGATGGTCATCCCGATTTTGCTAAACCTGGTTGTGGCGTTGGCTTCCTTTCTTGGAGGGAGGGCAGGCCGTTCTGCTCCGAGAGAACCAGCAATTCCTCTGGTCCCTCTGATGGAGAGCGATGAAGCCCACCCAGCCCTGGCCACTCAGAGGTTCTGCAGTGTCTGCATCTGTGCGGGCCACGCCCCGAGCAGGGCGCACGCGGCCCCCATGCAGGGGCCTCCTGGGTCTGGGGTGACGTGGCTGCCGGGACAGCGGGCTTTAGGCTCCCCCATCTGTCTCGGTCAGAGGGGCAGGGCACCACTTACCCGACCTAGGGATGGCAGCCGGGAGCCCGCGGCAGGCAGGAGGTGCACAGGGAGGGGCCCGGAGGCCACAGTGGGGAATCCAGACCCCAGCGGGAGGGCAAAGGGAGCCGCAGAAGCCTCTGAGCAGGGGCACCGCGGGGATGATGGAGTGGGGAAGGTTCTGTGAAGCCCAGGGAGTACTGCTAAGAGGGCTGTCCCCTGCCAGTCACCCACACAGGCCGCTCTCTCTCCCTCCTGCCTCCACCCGGCCCCACCCCAGCTAAGTGGATTCAAACCAGATTAACAGAGCGGAAGTCTGACACCCCCTTCTGCTGCGAAGTGCTGCCCACCCCTGCAGGCCCGGCCTCCCCAAGCACAAGTGTGAGCCCAAGATTTCCTCGCTGAGTTTGGAGGCTTTGTTCCCACCTGGCACAGTGTCGGGCCCTGGGCTGTGTAGACGGGACAGGAGGTTCCAGGAAATGGAATATGGTAAGTGGCCCAACTGTTGTGTATGGAGAAAGTAGACCCAGTCTGAAATCTGCCCCCAGAACTCCCAGCGCCCCGTGACGCTGCTCCTAGGTGTACACCCAAAAGAAGTGCAAATGGACCAAACGAGTCCACACACGCACCTGTTCACAGCGGCACGATTCACAACAGCCAGGAGGTGGGAACAGCCCAACGCCCATCAGCTGACGCGTGGATCAACAAAATGTGGTAGGTCACGCCGCGATGGTTCATTTTATGTGTCAACTTGGCTGGGCCATTTGGCCAAACATGAGAGTGTTTCTGGATGAGATGAACATTTGAATCCGTGGATGGAGTAAAGCAGAGCCCTCCCCAACGTGGGTGGGCCGCACCCAATCAGTCGACGGCTGACATAGAACAAAAAGGGCTGAGTAAGAGGGAAGTCCTTCTGCTCACACTTGTCCGGGAACACAGCTCTTTTCCTGCTTTTGATGTTGGACGGAAGCATCAGCTCTCCTTGGGTCTCGAGCCTGCTGACTTTCCGACGAAAACAACCATCAGCTTTCCTGGTTCTGAGGCCGTCAGACTCAGGCTGGAACCTCTAGCATCCGCTGTCCCTGGGCCCCAGCTTGCTGACCACAGATCTGGGCACTTCTCGGCCTCCATAATCTTATGAGCCAGCTCCTGATCAGAAATCTCTTGATACATACGTGCAGCCTATTGGTTTGGTTTGTCCGGAGAATCCAGACTGAGTGCACACAATGGAATATTATTCGGCCCTGAAGAGGAGTGGAAGCCCGGCACACAGCACAGCACCACAGAACCTCAAACACAGGAGGGTGAGTGTAAGGAACCGACACAAAGGCCACATCATTGTCCCGAACAGATGAACCCAGAGAGACTGAAGGCGGAGTGGGGGCCCCAGGGCCTGCCTGCTGGGGAGCAGCTGGGGCCACGAAGGGTGGGGGTGCATGGGGGTCCCGGTCACACAGCATTCTGAATGTACTAAATGTGACTGATTTGTTCACTCCAACAATGGCCACTTTTATGTTTTATCTCAGTTATTGTTTTAGAAGAGAGAAAGAACTCCCAGCAGTGTTTGAAGTTTCCAAGAAGCTTATTTGGGTCATGGGATCCACTGATGTGGCAGGATGGGCCTCGGGGGTCCTGATGCTTCCCAAAGTCACCGGAGCCCCTGGCAGCTTGAAGGAAGCCCACAGAGGAGGACGGGGCCCTTGGAGCGTTACACTGGGCGTGCCGGAGACTGGGGCCCTGCCTGTGTCCCAGCAGACGGGGTCCTGGGGGAGGCCCACCCTGGCTGCAGGCTCTGTCCTGTCCTGCCCTGTGCGCCCTGCAGTCCCCTCCCCAGGGACTCGTCCCCACCCGCTTGGCTTGGAAGCACTGGCTGAGATTCCCACCCATTTTTCTCCTTGGGGTCCAAACCTGCTCCTTGACTCCAGAGCCCCCACCACCAGTGGGCTCTCCTTCTACCCCGTGGTCCTCATTCCCTGACGTCCACCCTGAGCCGGCCTATTCTGCCAGTCCCCACCCTCAGAAGGACCCCCATCTAGACACCACAGGCCTCCCAGAGAGGACACGGGCCCTGACTTAGGGCATCTGTTATGGCTAAATCCTGTTCCCCACCCCCCACCCTGCAGAATTTCCATGTTGAGACCCGAGGTTGCAGGACCTTGGGATGTGGCTGTATTGGGAGAGCTAATTAGGGTAAAGTGAGGTTGTTTGGGTACACCCTACTCCAGTCTGGCCGGTGTCCTTATGAGGAGATGAGGACACAGACACGCACACGGGACCACCAGCAGGGACGCAGGAGGACACGGCCGTCTACAAGGGCAGGAGGGAGGCTTCAGGAGGAATCAGCCCTGCCCGCGCCCGGGTCTCAGATGTCCAGCCTCCAGAGGTGAGGACATTCATTTCTGTTGAGCCACCGGGCCTGTGGTGCTTTGTGAAGGCAGGCCCCAGCAGACAAAACTGGGGGGCCAAAGGCCTGTCCCAGGGGCCACAGGGCCAGCCCCCCAGCTCTCGGACCCTCCCCCTCCTCAGGAGGCTTGCACTCTCGTGAAACCAACACAAGAGCTGCCCGCCCACCCGCCCGCCCCCTGAGGCTTCCTTCCTTTGAAGGTTGGAACGGGGGACTACCTTCAGAGCAGCGCCTTCCAGCAGAAATATAATGCAAGCCACAGATGCAATTTTAAATATCCCAGTAGCCACATAAAAAATGTGAAAAGAAACCAAAAAAGCTTATTAATACATCTTAGATAATCCCATATATCCAAAATATTAGCATCTCAACATGTAATCGACGTAGTTAATGAGATAGTTTACATCCCTCTTTTATCCTATGTCTTCGAAACCCAGTGTGTGTTTTGGGCTTTCAGCACACCTCAGTGTGGACCGGCCACGTGCGCAGCTACCACGCGTGGCTCATGCCCGCCACACAGGACGGTGCAGGTTTTGACCTCCAAGGTGGCCTCCGGGCACCTGTCAGCGCCACGAAGCCTGAGACACAACATCGGCGTGGTGTCTTGTCCTCGTTCTTCCAGGGCGAGCCCCAAATGTGGCTCTGCCCCCTTCTGGCCAGAGCAAGGAGGGGACGGCATCAGTGCCCACAGATCAGACTGGCAGGGCTGCCACGACACCTGCAGGGCTCAGCGCCACTCCGTGGGCACCGGCAGCCTCCAGAGCATGTCGGCGGCCCGAGACGGTGCTCGGTGGTGGAGCTCATCTGCACGCCGGTGCCGCCCTGGTCTCCCCGCGGACCGGTGGCGGGTCTTTCATGGGCTGGTCCGATCTGGAAACCACAGCCCGGAGCCCCGCGGGAGGGGCTGGCGCTGCGGGCACAGACAGGCGATGGAGAGCTTCCTGGGGCCACTCCCTGTGGGACCGCCCCACGGCAAGGGTCCCTGGCACAGTGCCAAAGGATTATTCTCTCCAAGGGTTTCAAACAGGAACCTGAGCAATGCGGTCTGGCTGGACGCCGGGGCACTCGAGACCAGAAGCCCTGTGTCCCGAAGTGTTTGCTGGCGGGGTCAACGGGTTTGGGGAGCCCTGGCTCAGAACTTCTTCTGCCGTCACACGCTTGTATGTCCCGTGGGTCTTGAAGAGAGTCCCCACGCCCAGCGGGTCCCAGGGGGACGTGCCCTCCTGGCAGACTGAGGGACCACCCCGGTTGAGTGCCTCGTGTGCCCGGCCCCGCTCCCTGACCTGTGGCATCTTGGTTCCACCTTCCTCGTGGCCACTGTTGGACCAGAGGCACGTGACTCAGCACCTCTGAGCCTCAGTGTTCTCAGGGCTGAAGTAGGAAGGGCTCACAGCCGACCTCCTGAGCGTGTGGAGGGGGCCCATGAGGTCGCGGACGCAGAGCTCCCGGCACGCCATAAGGATGCAGAAATGGCACAGCGGCTGTTATGACGAGTTCTAAAACCGTCGCCCTCCCCACGCATGCCCGTGTGGTCTCCCTGAAGCCAGGCAGCAGCCCCATCTAGTAGCCGCTGTCGCCCTCCCCGTCCGGCATGCGCACCACAAGAGCGTTGTTCTTGGTGCAACAGGGCCCGTGTGCAAAGCGTCTCAGGGTTGGATTTCGACGTTCTCCATACAACCCTGGACCTGTTCCTGGACCAGAGAGCCGGTGATGTGTAATCAGCGCTTATCACAAATCTATGCTTTTCCATGGCCATACTTACCGGCAGTCTAGTTCTGTTGCATTGCATCTAGGGTCAAAGAGTAAACGCACCACACTAGAGCTTTAGTCACCCTGTTTGGGCATTTCTTCATTCTAAAAATTGGCCTTAGGAAAGTGTAACCTTAAGGGACTTACTTGCTCTCTACCTTGTTTCCTTGTCTATGGGGTGGAGAAAAGGGAAGGATGCTGGCCACACCAGGCGAGGGACAGGGTGATGCAGAACACAGGGGTTCTTTATGGGAAAGAAGCACTCTCCAGCCCCCAGAGCTGTGAGGATGAAATCACTGAGCACAGAGCTCGAGAAATACACATTCTTTGTTGTGCCATTAAGCTCAACTCAGGGAGGATTTATGGAGAACCTGCTGTGTTCAGCAGACCAACCCCTGCTCCCCGGGGCAGGGGGAGTCCAGAGATGAATAATCCCCTGGAGAGGGCCGCGGTCTGGGGGTGATGTGGGGAGCCAGAATCTTTTGTCCTGCTGTACCGGGGCCAGATCCTACAGGAGCCCACGGTGTCCCTGGTGCTGGTACCCTGAATTTCCCGGGCGAAGCTTGCTGGGCCGGCGGCCTCGGGG